TTTGAGGTGCACAGAAATTACTTGATAGATTCTAATAAACACACCAACTTGACTATCAGTTTTAGAAAAAAAAAATCGGAGAAATAGTGGGGGCTGTAGTTGGGTAGTTGCATTGCTCGCTCGATTGATTCTACAGCCTTCCAATACTCTCGGGCAGTCAATAACGAACGCTCTACGAAACGCTCCAGCATGAATATTCTCGAGATCGCAAGGAGATGTACTTGACTGGTATTCTATGACGTTCTTGAGTAAGATAAAAACGAATTGAATGCTAGGAGTATGCGGACTTGCACAGTGAAAATAGCAATTATTAATACGAGTCAAATAAAATGTCAAAAAATAGTGCAGAAATATTTATAACAAAGCTGGAACCTTGGTAGTGCAGTGGAAGTGGATGGCACGTGCCTTGTGTAAGAGTGAAACGCGGATTCATTTCCCGCCTCGTGTTCGAGATTTTGCATATCACTTCGAACTGATGGATATGTCGCTGCATCATAACAGTGCTAGAGAGGCAGTAAAGTGTCATTTGAAAATGACTGAGGTTTCATCAATGAGCTTGCATTTGACATACGCCTCAAGAGAATAATTAGAAAACTACTTAGTTGAGGGGTCTTCGCACACCCTTAGAAGGCTACGTAGTTATGCTAAAACCTGCATATTTCTCCATCACCTTTATTGTATAATTCGAAAATGGAAGAGGATTTTCAAAAAAGTCTCATAAAGAAAATAACTTCCGTCTCTGTAGTCACACGAAAAGCTGAACAGTCTTAGTAAAACGTTCAACAAACCTCCTGCTCAATGATGGTGTGAATCGTCGCGGGCATGTGTTACTTGGTGGAAGCCACGGTAACGGAGTGGTTTCAGTAAGGTTCAATGAACGCATGCTTTGAGATAGAAGTCGTTCGTTTTCCTGAAGTACATGTTGTTTTTCTACAGAAAATTACTGTAGCTCAATCCTGCCAGAGAATCAACGATTTTGAGAGCCTATGAGTTTGCGAGATAGTAATATGATAACAAAGGTTCACTAAGGCTAGCCAATATGCTTGTTTGCGAATGAAGAATACTATATATACTTGCTCAGGTCCAGTTATCTTAAGAAGATGGAGGAGTTGTTTTTTACTGGTGAAAAGACAAAACTGCAGCTGTACGCAAGAGCACGTTACTTATTTTGAAGAAGGGTTCGGCACTAACCAGGAGTTTCTGGCGCAGTTCACGCACTACAGAAACACCAAGAGCTCTAGCATTTCGAAGTCTCTTGTGTAACACTGGTTAAATATATTGCTTGCTCTGATAGACCACAGTAAGTGATAGTGGAAGTCGAATATAAATTCAATTACACTCTTCACTTCCTGATGAAGTGTGATACATGGTGCTATCAGTTGGAAAATGTTCTAGGTATCGGACTGCCAAAGTACAACAAGGAGTTCAACCCCGAGCATCCCAAGCTGAGAAGAAGTCTGACGTTTCTACCCGGAAAGTCCAGCTAATAGTATCAGGAGTTACCATCAGCTTAATATCAAGCAACCGTAAGGTGGTAAATCTGCTTCTGATCTCAAATGCCGGCTACTGCTTAGTGTGATTACAATTTGGGGACGGTTCCAACTAAGCTGATCTTGGGGCTCTAGAAGACTTGATCGTTTTGATCGGTTGTCGCACCGTGAAACGTGTTAATCGAGAGCACCAAAATCACTGACTCAACAGGACGTTTTTGGAAACGGACAGAACAAAAACGCTCACGACACGCCACAGAGGTTTTCATCTTACTTTTTATCAATAGCGTCAGAACAGTCTTCTTAGATGCTGACATATACGCTTTCCTTGAAGGCAGCTGGTGACATACTCCATTTTTTCACGTGATCGCTCTACAGAAAACGGGGAGCACTGACATTTCGCCTGGTTACCTTTCGTTTCTAATTTACGCGTCAAAAGAAGCCAGTATCATTAACAGTTACTCACTAACTTGTGCAGCTGATGAAAACGAAATAGATGCGTTTTATAGTAAGTTAGAGAGAGTTATGCGCAACGACAGTTCTTCCACAAATTCGTTCTTGAAGACTTCAATACCCGATTAGGAGTAGCCAGGAAAAATGAATAGGCGATAGGAAGTTTCGGCATGCAAGAACGAAAGAGAACGGAGACCGTCTTACAGGACTCCTGCACACGGTAAGTCTCTTCCACAAAACCCCTATTTGAAGAAGAGAGAAAACTGCCCATGGACATAAGAGTTGTCAACGGCACAACTCATGCAAAGCAGAAATCGATCATCTATTATATTGCACAATACTTGCAAACAAAAAGTAGTGCTTTTGAGGCACCAATGCGGTACTTGAAATCCGTACGGGATCTGATCGTTGTTTCCTACGTGCAAAGATTTGATTCAGACACAAGCCGGAAAAAGTTCTCTCATTATCCAAGAGAGACTCTACATCATTCTCACAAAGCTGTTTATGGGGATTGTTCTACTAAGAATATTGAAATCCTGGATGAGGTCAAATCATTCGAACAAGGGGCCAGTGAATTCTATCGGGATTACCACCTGGGCTTGCCTAAACCTTCACCTCCCATGAGATAGCGTTTGACATCGTCGAAAAGAATGCAGTACTATAAAGACCTCATCGACCATGTTTATCCGTCTTATACACGGATATTAGTAGCCTATCAAAGTTGTGACACAAAAATTTGCAATGTATTGTGAAGCTCTTCCTTGCCACAGTGTAATGGGTAATGAAGCAAATCGTAATGCAAAAACGGCATGTGCTTTGATGAGAAATTTTCATCAAACCTTCGTTTTGCTGATAACGTCTTTTCAAGGAGTATTAGTGAAGCAGAAACGACGCCTAATGGCCTCAGTAAAGCAGGATGAAAGATTGACCTACCCAACATGTGAATCATAAAACCTATCTTGTTTAGCCGACGCAAAGTTTGTGGTTGTGATAGAATTAGTCGCACTAATAGTAATAGCAATTCGATACATGACGTTTTGGCGACTTCGCCTTCTTCAGAGCTTGCACATATATTGTATTAGACGATCTAAATTCAAATGTGCTTGCTAAGACTACAACTGCTAGCTTTGCGTCGACTAAGTAAGTTAAGCCTCTGAGATTTCTTCATATGAATAATCAATGTTGCTGCTTGTGGAGAGTCGGTCTTTTGAAGTACACATGAATAGGACAAAGACCCAGTTCATAATGAATCCACGGTACGGTGAATAAATTGAATTGCATAATTTTCTAATTAAGGAAGAAACCTCGGACGCGCATCGTGGGCGTTCAGTGAATATGGAGGGCAATATGAAGAAAGAGTTACACAAAATAAGAAGTGCGGCGTGGGCGGAATTCGGGCCTCACGATGGGGCCACCGACCAATAAGTGAACAGAAAACTCCGTCTTTGATTCAGCAATTATCCCAGAGAATTGTTATGCAGTAGAGACATAGGGTAATACTTCAACCATGCCACAAAATCTGCACACCACCCACAGAACACTCTAGCGAAGTCTTCAGAAATCAGTTGACACTTGCAACGTTTAACTGGTTTTTGTAGCCAGATTTTCAGAAACTATCTGATCTCTGAATCCACAAAACTATATACATCGATAGCGAAATACAGATGGGCCGGTCACATGATGAGAAGAACAGATGGCAGATGGACGAAAAGAACAATGGAGTGGACGGATTTTAAGAGAATGTAAGGGTCATTCTGGAATATCTTCCAAACGATGGGAGGACGCGTTTCTAACTAATGGCAACCGTCCTCATTTTCCAGATGGCAACGGATTTGATTACGGAAAGGGTTTCACCTATTTCATCATGTTCGTATCAAACCGTAAGAGAAATTCAATATACTCCGATGGAATGTATCAAGCCTTTCAAAGGTCTGGTATAGCGGCTTTAGTGATATAACTACGTTTCAGCGTTCTCTCCTTCGGCGCCGCTACGATTGTAGCAGGAGTGAGCCGTAGGATATGGTACTCATGAGGCAAGCGAAAACGCTGAAACGTATAAATACCCCTCGAAATAATCGAAATTAAGGTGACCAGGGTGCGCGATGCGCTTCAACGACAAGCGATGGACGAGAACCGTTACCGGCTGGATTCCTCGGCACATCAAGGGCTCTACAGGAAGGCCACCAAACCGTTGGTCCGATTCTCACGAAAGCTATAGAAGAAAGATATGATGCTTAGAGAACCTCTAGAGCGAGGATGACCCACTGGGCTACTCTTGCACACGATAGGAAAAAATGGAAGTGTTGCTGGTACACGCTTGAGACATTCAACGATCAACGGGACGACAGGTGACACAGGTGATATATATATATATATATATATATATATATATATATATATATGTATATATATATATATATATATATATATATACCAGGTATATGCATATACATATATTTCTACACTATCAATCTATAAAGTTCTACACTACATCAATCTATAAAGGCTGGGAGATGCATGATGTAATGACCAAAAAATGCTTTAACTCAATGCCTTAAGATCAGGAGAAGTCGATTTGAAGAGCATTTGACGATATACACAGATGGATCAAATATCTTCATGTGGCAGCTGATCCATAAGAATATTCAAAGCGCTAGACTATGAGGATGCGTGGTGAGAAGTAGATTAAAGGACTACTGGAATCAGCACAAAATATGTGTTAGCTTGAATAAAAATGAAAAGGAATTAATGTTATATTTAACCACACCTTCAATTCCAACCACGCTTCATAAGTCTGCTGAGCTAATAACTCTTTGTACTCGCTTTCTTCTTTTAGTCGTTTCCTTTCTTCATCTTCTTTCCGTTCGGTTTCCCGTCTCCGAGCGCGCTCAATCTCCGACTTTTTATTTTTCCTGAAATTTAGGGTCGTAATCCATTCAATAGAGCCTTAAAATTTGAGAACATATTTTCGAAATTTTTATTGTTTCTACTGCATTTTTTCGCACTGTTATGATCATTCATTTATAGCTAAGAGAATTGAGTGGTGAGCAAAAACACGGTCTCAGACGGGAATCGAACCCGCGTTTCGTCCTCTCCTGAGACGCGTGCTCTGCAACTACACCACCGAATGAACGCCATTAAATCACCCAATACACCTGCACACTCCATATAGAGATGTTGAAGAATGAGTGGTGGGGCAAATGTGCCCCGGTGGTGGAATGGTAGAGCACGCGTCCCCGGATAGGATGACATGTGGGTTCGATCCGCCTGAGGCCGTGTTTTCGTTCACCACTCAATTCTCTTAAGACTTTTCTGGTTGAATCATAAAGACCATTATTAGGTGTTTTTAAAAATGGAATTGCTGAAATCCCAGCAATTTCGCATCCGTCGGTGTCTATTTTTTTTGAAAGATTAAGATAACCCATATATGCCCGACACATGTTAAACTAGAGGAAGTTATATCATCAAAGAAATAAACTTCTCTTACCATCCCAACAAGGACGATTAACAAGATTATACCTGCATCATCTGTCATCTTGATCTACGAGTGGTTTGAGTGGGCACCACTAGTGCTTCCATTTCTCCCTTATGCGTGCAAGACCATTCCACGTTTTTCCTTGTTGTAGAAATTCGCTATTTATCATTTTTTCTATGCTTTTCATAGAGAAGTCGGATCAACACGCCGGTGGCCTTTCTGCTGTGGGTTTGACAACTCAAGAAATCTTGTTGGTAAAGGTTCTCGTCTATTGCGAGCCGTTGAAACACTCTGCATGCCCATCTTACCTGAATTCCAATATTTTGATGTGTAGGAGGGCATCTTTGGTTCTCGACTGCTGACATTTGGCAGAACCTTAGATCCGCTACCTCACTTTATGATAAGTAGCACTCCTAGCATCTAACTAGTTAAGGGTTAAAGTTAACGGTTTTTAATACTGAGGTTGTTGATTGTTGCCTCAGGATTCATACCACTTACTCAAAGTCCTCATCGGTGTGCTTTTCTACACCATGAGCCCAAAGGATTACTTGTCCGCCCCTTCGATGTGCTGTTCGTGAACTCATATAATCTCCGTCTCTACTACTAAAGAGTATTACGCAACTGTTTGTTTCTCATAGATGGCCATAGATGGTCGTACAAGAGGTTTCGAAACAATCGCCGCTGTATTGTTTTGAGTGGAATACCCATAATTATTTTAGAGAATTCCAGACCAGGGTTTTTAGCCACTCTTCGTTGGGAGCCATTTCAAGGCTATCTTCCCTTCTGGGTATGAAGCAGCATTGTTTTTACTACTTATGTTATAGCGACTTTTCTCTCCTTATTGACCTGAATTCCGTGGTTGCACTTTCGTTCCTATTTGAGATGGCTATTTCTAGATATCATTTTCTATCTTATTTTCTACCTAGGAACTAAAAATTTCCTGAAGTGCAAGTAGAAACTGAAAAATTTTTTTACCAAGCGATAAACGCTCCTTCTGCCTCTTTTTTGGCTTCTTCCTTCTGTCGTTTCTTTTCAGCTTCATCTGAATGCTTAGGTCGCGACCTTGAGTGTGATCTCTTCCATGCCTCGAATGACTGAAAGATTTTCACATGCATCACTCTCCGAAAAACTACTCTCAGATGTTAATTGAATTTTGACTGATTAAAATGAGGGAAAAATAAAAAGTACGACATTTTATTTTAGACGAATTACTTTTTCAGCCTCACTCCTCTTCTCTTTTTCCACTTCCTCCTTTTGTGCACGTTCTTCTTTTTCTTTTTCTCTCTTTCGTCTTCGTTCTTCACGATCTTTTTCATCTCGGTCACGTTTCCATCTCTCGAATAGTTTCTTTGCTTGCTCTCTTCGTTCCTTTTCTTCCTAAATTTTCGACATTCTTTATTAGAAAAGAAGTGTACGGTTTGGAAGGATTCTCATTTTCGGGTCGTTTGTGCTTTCAGTCTCGTGGCCGTAAAAGCTTTTGAGCTTTACAATGATGTACGAGCCTTTGTCAAATCGTCAAGACACCAAAGTAGAGCTTTTATATGAAGGATTCAGTAATCTAAGGAGGTAATATGCGCTGATTCAAAGATGAATGGACATTTTGAGAATTTCTGGCGACTCTTGGAGAGGAACTTATAGGGTGGTCTTCGATCTTCTTTAGAAACTTTGCCGTGAGGTGGTAAGTAACTCAATGTTTTAGAGATGTTAATTTGAAAGATCTAATAGGTGGCTCTAAATCTCCTGAACCACTCCTCGCAAGGCAGCAAAGCTTCCTGCGAAAGAAGGCTGTAGACGGCATGTGATGGAACCTGGCACGCACGAAGCATCCCAATATTTTGAAGAGAATGTAGCCATGGGAATGAACGACACGTGGAGAGGACTAGTCGGTGAAGCAGTGACAGAATGTGTACAGAATTCGTTTGTATACTGATAACAATCAATGAGATTTAGCGGTGGTACTTCCAAACGTTAAAAGGCACGACAAATGCATTGGATCGTACCCTCCTACATCGATATCCACTAAGAAAGTAGATAAAAAGCTAAGGAAATATTACTGGAGATTACCTCTTCCTTTTTAGCAGCTTCTTTCTTTATTTTTTCTCTTCGCATTCGATCTTCTTTTATTTTTCTCTCGAGCCATTTGTCATGGGTACTTTTGCCGTTTTGAGAAGTTGAAGAAAATAACGACTCTTCTTTTGGTGCGCTAAAATACTTACTTATACCAATTATTTTATTTTCATATATATAGCTGACTGATAATTTCTGACTCCTCTTCTTCAAGTACCACTCCATAATATCAAAGTTGCAGTCCGCTGCTATACTGACAGCAGATACTTTGCGAAATAGGTAAGTCTCATCCAAGGAGAATCGATTTGATTTTTATGGGCCTAATAAAAATGGCTGACAGAAAACACAATAAAACATTGACGAGTTAAAAAGCTGTCAAGAGTCCTCCTTGAGAACGTTCCACATTCCTGTTTAGTACAATTATTTTCTCACTAAATAATTTTTCATTTAACCGCTTTTAGCGTGGTGTGACGTTACATACCAAATGATGATGAGTGATATGCATAAGTTGGACGTCAGGAGGGAATTGCACCCACATTTCATTATTTCCAGGAGCGCGTACTCTAACGCGTTGCACTACCGTGGCCTGTTTTGCAACCACTCTTTATACGTTACAACACATCTATCCATCAGCAACCAACCGTTAACGGCTGGGCCTAGGTAGTCGATATTGACGTTGAACCCAGTCACGCTGACAGATAGTGGGTATTGGATGATCTAGCAAAATTCTTTTTATTTAATTGCCTTAGTGTTGTAGTGTAGAACGAGTAGTGGCGAAACAAGCGTCGGTAGAGCAACAGGTAAGAGCACGCTTTCTGCTTGCGTGTTCGAGTCCCGCTTGATGCAAAAGTTCTGCACATCAATCTACATCTTTAAGTCTGTAAGTAATATGTCTACTCAGTCTACACTAAATGACGAGGTATCACTGATATTGTACAAATCCCTTTGGATTCTTACGCCGCACTGATCCATCCCTCACGAAGGTCCTCTAGTTTTGTACTAACTCAGCTGCTGATTGAAGAATTTTGGCGGTTTCATAAATGTCTCTGAATGCTAGTTCTCCATTGACTACAAGCAATTTTAAGGCACTCTTCGGCATCGTGAATTCAGGTTTTCAAACAAATTTGTTATGGATTTCACTTCTCCAAAAGGGCAGAATGCTTGGTGGATTTTAGGAGGATAAACTGCGCTCTTGTGCTCAATCTTGGGCGACACTCCCACTGTCCTACTAGTTCACTAACAAACATTTACGCGTCGTAATTCATCACTTCATAGTCCGACAGTTGCTCCTTCGAATGTTTTTCTCAGTTCCTATTCTGAATGCACTTTTATGAAAAATTCAAAATGTGAAGCGATTTTTTTGGTGCCTTTCGATCAGTTCAGTCCCGAACAAAAATCTATGTGACGAACCTGCTTTGCCTTCCTTTTGGTTGTTTATCGGTAGATGACGAGGAGTCCACTGCCGCAGTTTTTGCGTCCATTGTTGCAGTTTTCGCCGACAGCTCATCGACCTGCTCAAAGGTGACTCGAAACGTGTTCGGGGCTCCCGATGTTGACGGTGGTGATGTGATTTTTCCATTCTAAACGTGCAAGGATCTATAGCGTATATCTTAGAACGCAGTCCTTCCTCTTGACTGATTTTAGTCGAAGCATTCGCCATAATCATGCTCTATTTATAGAATCATGGAGGCACTAAGACTGTGGATTTAGCGTGTTGGCTCATGGAGGGAACCTAACATATAGTCAGTTCAAATGAGGTTCAGCCGACAGCAATGGGTATTTGAGGGACATGTTTTTGCTAGACAAGTACTTTCCACTGGACCAAATATAATCGTTCAAAAGCTTGAATCTCGGAGATTTAGAAAGTGTACTTGCTTTGAAGATGCTCTTAGCAGTGCTATAATAATGGAAATAACATTGCCTTTCACGTCAAGTCGCGTCTAGTCGCGTGTCTACAATCATTCGTCCTTGCGATGTGGGTCTTCATACGGGCTGAATCTTTTGCAGTGAATACCTCCCAAATCTCACTCAGCTATGCCTTTGAAAGAAAAGCTATGAACTGTCCCACTCAGCTATGCCTTCCAAAAGAAAATTTTGGTAGTTGATTATTGAATTTTTGTATGTAGAACAACCTAGAGAAACATTTTGATTATGTCACAATATTTTATCCTTACTTTTTTTTCGAATCAGCCAACTAAGGTGAAACTTGCGAAGGTTGAATTTCTTCCTGTTCAAATTAGAAAAGACGAAATTTGTTCTAACTCTTGCCACTGTGGCATAAATGTTATCTATTAAATAATCATTCGTAGTGCAGTACTCAGAGATACCACTTGGTCCACCGTTTAATCCCACGCTCAGGCTCATCAAGCCTTTCATCCTTTGGTGGTCAGCAAAGCTTTGAAAGACTTCTCAGGACGAATTATCACATTGATTATCCCAGGTAGACTTGATGCATAATTGTAAGGCAGCGAGTCTCCTACCGGCCAACTCCCATGCAATAACCACTGCTATTAATGGAGCTGAGTTTCTTTTATGGCATCAGAAAAGAATTGATAACGATGATATCTCGGTCGACGTCATACCCATATAGG